GCACTTCTCCAATGAAAGGCCACTCCGATTTGGTTACGGCCATCGCCTCCCCAATCGACAACGCCGACGTAATTGTGACCTCCCTGAATAAATTCTGGATTCTCAAAGGACGGCCCACAATGCGGTCTCCCACGCCGCCGCCTCACGGGACACTCCCACTTAGGTCAGACTTCGTCCTCTAATCAGACGGCCAGTTCGCCCTTAAGGATCCTGGGACGGAGAGCTTCGCCTGTGGGACCTCTAGACTGGTAATACCGCCCGCCGCTCGGGCACATTGGGTATGTGAACACAGTTACTGCTTCTCCTGATGGTTCTCTTTGCGCTAGCGGAGGCAAAGATCGATTGATTCTGTTGTGGATTTTGGCAGAGGGTATGAGACTCTACAAGCTTGATCCTGGGTCAATTACTCTCTCTATCGGCTCCACTCCAAGCCATTACTGGCTTACTGCAGCTACTGCGTCTAGCATCAAGATTTGTTACCTCGAGCAAGAGTGTTGATCTGAAGCAGGAGAGCGAAATGGCAGCAGATGCAACAACTGCTTCAAACAATAAGGTATCTTTTTTCAAGAGATTAGTCCATATAACATTTTTATTGATGTTTTTTTGTTAGTTGCACATCGTTCTTCTTGGGAATCCAGTTAAATGATCCCAAAGATTTTATCAGTGCATATAGAAAGAGAAATAACCTATCTGCTTGAGCTATCTCCTAATACTAAATACATGGAGTTAAGCTCCAATGGTTTAGGATCACACATTTTTCATGCAAATGGGGTGCGGCCTATTTAAACTTTTTGGTTTGAAGTCTTGAAAATTATGAATGCTTACAATATATGTGTGTGTTTGTGAATTTATATATATAGGTCGTAGCCGCCAATCTCCAATCTCCATGGTGTCTATCAAGTTTTAGATGATTGTGCATTATACTCTCTAGCGCAATTCACAATTAAATAAAGCTTTCTACACCATTAATTTATGAGGGGGTTCTGTGAGAATTTTCTATCAAGCTTTCTACAGATGGTGGAAGGTTCTGTGAGAATTTAATTTTATGATGATTCATCTTTAAATATATCGGCCTCCTTGTTTTATTTAACAATTTCGTAAGCCTCTAAAGTTATGGAAGGCTAAGATTATGTATTTATTTAAGAAGCTGTGTTCATATGTATAACATATACGTATAAAAGATTGAAATAGTAGTTTTTGTTTATCTACTCGTAGCTCAACCACTCACCCACTAGTATTTGTACTATTTATATAAAAAACCTCAATTAAATCATTCCAAAGTTTTAATAACATCCAATTTTGAAATGGCTTGTTGGCAAATGTGAAAATAGGAGTGTTACAATTAAAAAAGAAAAGAAGGCAGTATTTCCTTAAGATGTATTCGTAACACAAAAATTTGGTCGCGCAGTTTGTTATGTATTTTGCACTCATATACATCACTCATATACCACTTAATATCAAGGTGATCCCAAACATGAACTAAACTTGTTACTTGCCTATTTTCTCCCTCCTGTGTACTGGGAAAAAGCAAAACATTTTACATAAAAGATGCAGAATATCTGATCCTGGCTTTGGATTATTGATTGAACGTATCTCTTAACGGTTACCTTGCACATCGATCTTCTTTGTATGAAAAATGACTGATTCCAAGGATTTTATTTGTGCGTATAGCAAAAAAACAGACCTGTCTGCTTGAGCTACCTCCTCTTGTTAAGTTTGTGGAGGCTTCAATGTTACAGGATTACATTTAGTCAATGTTTGGTAAGATGTAAAGCATATTACATCTAAAATGCAGGATTTCTAATCGTGGTTTTACATTTGTGAATAAAAGCCTCTTAAGTTTTACTATTAGCTTGCACATTGATCTTCTTTGGATGAGAATTGATGATTCCAAGGATTTTATTTGTGCGTATAGCAAATGAATAACCTATCTGCTTGAGCTACCTCCTTCTGTCAAGTCCTTGGAGTTAGCTTCAATGTTATAGGATTACATTCAGTCAATGGGTCCTTAGCTTGTACGATGTAAAGAAATGCAGTTGACTCCATTACTACTTACAAACCAACACCTTGCCTTTTCTGTTGCGATTACCAAAAGAAATTGATATTGAATTATATATGATCTTTGTTTGTGTATATCATCTTGTAGGTCGTCTTTTGTACAAGTTTGAAGTGGAATTTTGATGGAAGGACAGAGGACACTCTTCAGTGTATATACTGATCTGATGGAGTCATAAGATTGTGGATTCAGTTTAGCAACAAATTATCTGATTGTGATTGTGCTGAAAATCAAATGGATTATATGATGTTGTGAGGAGATCCATAATTTCCAAGCTTTTCTTGTTATTCAAGAAGTCCAATTTTGAATATTTTCTGTCCGAGGCTCAATGGTGTATTTTAATGGGAATTTAGATTTCAACCAAAATCTACCTATTTAGATTTTCTAGAAACCATTGAAATATTGATGACCCCAATTTGCATTTTAAAAGATTCTTTAAAATATTTAACTAATTGTTTTGGTATACTTTGACGGTCGATTTGTTAGTTTTCTGAAGAAAAAACTATTTATGAAATTGCGACCATGATATAAATATTTATTAAAATACTGTTGGATCAATCCATGATTAACAAAAATTGCTAAATGAAATGATGACTTACAAAACAGTGAAACACCGATCCATTTGGCGACTTTTATTTCTGAGGGATACATAAAAGCAAAATACATGATATATGTAAATAATGTTTTAAAAGGTGTGAGATGTGGCAAGTGACAAAAATCACAAGATCAAGCCTTTGAGGGCTAGACATGAATATGTGAAATCTAAGCGTGAAAATTTCTATTGATTATTATTACCATTACTTTATAGTAGTCCTGGACTCGGGCCGGGCGGCCCGCCCCGGAACCGGCCCGGCCCGGCCACTGTAGCAACCGGCCCGGCCCGGTGGCCCGATCCACCGGCGGTTCGGGTCGAACCGGCCCGGTGGTTCCCGGTTCCGGGCCCGGGCCTTCCATATGGTGAACCGGCCCGGCCGGTTCAAGCCCGGTCCGGGCCGGATTTTAATTTTTTTTTTTTTTTGAAAATTTTTTTAAATCTTGGGTTGGAATAGGTATTTTGGGCCATTTGAGGTGGTTTGGGGTGGTTTGGGGTTGAGTGGGAGGGGTAGGGGATTAAATAGGAGAACAAAAAAAAAAAAATTGGGCCGGTTAGGCCCGGCCCGGCCCGGTTTGGCCCGGAACCGGAACCGGAACCGGCCACCGGCGGTTCGGGCCCGGGCCTCCCCTTTCCTGGCCCGAGGCCCGGCCGGGCCCAGGCCCGAACCGGCCCGAGTCCAGGCCTACTTTATAGTGATATAGGAAGAAAAATAATAAATGTCCAAAAAATATATATCATATAAGATTTAGCATAATTTTTACCTTGTTCAATATATACAATATTTAAAGTATAAAAAGGCAAGTACAAAATGGTACGGTAGTATATCATTGTTGCTTTTTACTATTCCCTCCGTCCCGCTAAAAAGTTCCCACTTTCCTTTTTTAGCAGTCTAAAAAAGAAGTCTCCCTTTCCTTAAATGGAGAGTTATCTACATCAAAACAGAGCCAAATAGTGCAAAACAATGTCAAATAGTGCCAAATAGTGTCAAAACAGTAAAATTTACCCCTGATAAATTTATTTCCTTAATATGTGAGTAAGTCAAACCTGTAACTTCTTAGCGGGACGGATGTAGTACTTACTACCTCCGTCCCAAGCACTAACATTGGAACAGGAGTGAGTGACACAGTTATTAAGAAAAGTGAATTTGTGTGATTGATATTGAATTGATAAATTAAAAATGAGTTAAAGCCACACAAACTTTATAAAATTTGATACGAGACAATCTTAGCGAAATTTCTTAAAAAGAAAAAATGGGACAATTGTAGTAGAGGAATTATTCCGTATTAGATTCCATATATAACATGTTACTAAAAAATACCCGCCCATGTATCATGTTACAAACTTAACCAGTGTCAAAGTTGCAATAAATAAACGATCGATGTTAGTTTACGTCTGAATATGCGACATCCCCAATATATAAATTGTAATCCCCAATATATAAATTGTAATTGGTAGAATTAGAAATACTAGTAATAATTTTTGAATAGTATTGATACGAGAGTATTTTGATCCGTTCAAAGCGTTTCAAGGTCATCGAATTTCAAGCGTTTCAAGGTCATCGAATGTCATACTCTTATTCAGACTTATGTTATTTTTACTAGGACTGAAATTCGCTGATCTGATCTGGAAAATGTTTGATCTCTGTGTATTTTATAATTATGAAAATCTAGTATGATCTGATATGGTATGTTTAAGTCTGGTCTAGTTTGACATGGTTGATTAAAGTCTGATCTTTTATGGAATTGAAACAGTTCGCAAAAAACATCCTTAGAGCATCTCCAATGCTAAAACGTGAACGGTGCATACGTGGCATGAGAGACAACCAATTAAAAAATAATAAATAGAATATCTCTCTCATTATTTGAAGGATCTTGTATGACTTTGGTAAGTTTTTCTTCACAATGTCAAGCACAATGTCTAGATGTAGACATTGTGCTTGACATTGCAGAGCAAAACTTATCAAAAACAGATAAAACCGTGGAAAGAATGAGAGAGAAATGTCATAAATTTAAATTTTTGTGTCTATCTCTCTCATGCCACATGTGCACCGTGCACATTGTAGTATTGGAGATGCTCTTAATTTAAAAAATATTACGGACTCAACAAGTGATTAGATCAACCCAACGAACAATCATAATAATAAATTGTTAATATAAGTACATACTCCGCCCGTATATATATGGTATAAAAGTAATTAAATTTGATGGTGTAGCGCGCACGGTGTAAGTACACGAACGAACGATTATTGATCGAGAGCCGGTGCGCGCCCGCCGCCGACTTGAACATACACGTCCATTCCGTAAATAGAAATAAAAAGCAGTATATATAATGATGATTATTATTATTATGGCCGTAAAATACAATTGTCAAAAACCAAAACTAAAAGCATTTCCCTCCACTTAATCATATTTGATTTGATTTGTTTTGAAATAAGAAACCAAAACTTCTCCATTCATCATCATATATATATGGAGAAGAAGGGGTCGAATTATGAGGCGATTATGGCGAGAAGTTTTAGCAGGCAAGAGAGGAGCAAAATGGGATGGTGGGCTTGCCTTGCCTTCTTCCTCCTTGCTTTTGCCTTTTGCTTTTTCTTCAAGCCGCCGCCGCCGCCCTACACCACTACCAATCTTGCTTCCTATCCCGTTTGTAAGTCCTTGCATCCTTTGCTTTGCCAACCTTCCCCTTGTTCAATTCATTATAATAATTACTTCCCCATCTCTTGTTCTAAATATAGGAGGTTTTCTGGTCTGATCTAGTCTATTATGATCTGTTTGAATCTGGTCTGGTAAATGTTTGATTACTGTGTATTTTATAATTGCCGAAATATGGTCTGATCTGGTTTGATATATTTAACTAGATAGCTTTTGTTTGTTTACGAATGAATGGCGCATATGTATCGTACGTACATACCGTATGTTTAAAACACAAATAGCGAGCAAAGTATTACTCTTTCTAAAGCAACAAGTATGATTGCATTTTTGCTTGCTAATTAATCACGTCACGATATTCAATCTGCATTACAAGAAGTGACCCATCCATTAATTTATGAGGCGCAATAGTAAGAATTTTATTTTATTTATGTTTATAATTTGTACGCGCACTATTATACTACCTCCGTAACGCTAGAATCTTCCCAATTTGACTCTTTTGGGTCAAACTTTATGAACTTTGACCATTAATTATTCAAAACTCACATTATGTTATGATTAAAAATTTATTTTATATAACTCATTGTAAAACGTATTATTTGAATGTTAATTTATTATGAATTTTATAAATATAGATATGTAGATATTTGCAGTCAAAGTTCAACTTAGAAGACCGTGAAAAGTCAAAATGGGAAGATCTTTGTGTTACGGAGGGAGTATCTTATTAATTAGTGTACTAAGATAAACCCTTACTTTAATTTATATCGATTAGTTTGTGTTTTATCCATTGATTTGTTGCTTCAAGAAGAAGAGATCATTGATCACCCTTTTTTGTGATTGACTTTGCTATTACAGCTGCTCCAGTTGAAGTACGAAAGACGGATTTTCTAAATGTGCAAGCCACTAAGCATTTTGAAACCAACATTCCACCACAACCATGTAAGTTCAAATTTGTATATATCAACGATGACGGCAACAACAATTAAATACTAATACTTTGTACTATGTTATAATTAGTTTTTCTTTGTTCGACAAACTATTTTTGCTCCCCTCCCATTCAAAATAAACGTTTCTTTAGAAAGTACTTTTCAATTCTAAGTAAGAATCAGGTTGGCAAGTTTAAATTATAGAAAAACATGCTTTCTAGAAGGGTCATGCATGCATCATACCTATCATATCATTGTCTTAAAGGAGAAAAGGATATATACCTCGACGATGAATAAAATGAACTAATGAAGTAGTTTCAATTCGGAGGCTAGGCCACTAAAAATATTGAAATAAGATTGGTCCTGTTTGACTTCCGTAAATGTACAACATTGAGGGTATGTAGAATTTGCCTTATTATTCCTTACCCATGTATAAAAAAACTCAAACGATCTTTGCCGAGAGATAGGAGCATACTCCGTTGGCGTAATATATAATGTGTTCGCATGGCACGGGCATGAGTAAATGGTCACATCATTACCATTCATCGATCACAACGTAATTAACTATATATACTTTGAAATTTAAAAATGTTGCTACGTACGTAGTATAGTATTATTTAGACGAAGTATTTAATTTAATTGAATTAATAGTCAAGATGAATTGATCAAAATGCAAATTTGTTTACATTTGTAGATTCCAGTAAAGCAGAAGACGCAAGACCAATATGCAAAACACATCCAAGATCGGACATTTTCCATGCAAAGGGTGACATAAGAGTACTATCCACGAGCAACTCCTCATCATTATCACCTACCATTGATGTTGTTTCAAACGTTAGTATGTCTTGGAACATAAAACCATACGCTAGAAAACTCGATCCCTTCGCTATGAGAAATGTTCGAAACATAACCATTAATCGAGTTAGCCTGTCCTCTCACCATCATCAGCTCCGAAATTGTACGAGAAAGTATAACATTCCGGCCGTTGTTTTCTCTCTCGCCGGATACACCGGAAACCTATTCCATGACTTGTCCGATGTGATACTCCCTTTGTTCCTAACCACACACGAATTTCATAGAGAAGTGCACTTTCTAGTCGTTGACTATCGGCAATGGTGGGTAAATAAGTACAAGAACGTGTTACAAGGGTTGACCAAGTATGACATCATCAACCTCGATAACATCGGAAAAGACGACGTCATATGTTTCCCAAGAATCACCGTTGGTTTAAAAGCCAACAAAGAGTTCAGTATTGATGACGACATTGTTTCAGGCGATGTCCTTCCTCTCTCCATGAAGAACTTCACGAATTTCTTGAGAAGTGTGTATCACCTGAAACGTGACGTGACAATCAAAACTAAGCAACCACGACTCCTCATCATATCGAGAAGCAAAACGAGGCGTTTTTTGAACATCGACGAGATTGCGACAATGGCATTAGGGTTAGGGTTTGAAGTGGTTGCACAAGAGACCGGAGTAGACATGAATCGGGTCTCGAGATTCGTGAACAAATTCGATGCGGTGGTCGGTGTGCACGGGGCGGGACTATCCAACATGGTGTTCTTGCCGGAGAATGCAGTTGTGGTACAAGTTGTAGGGTTGGGAATGGATGGGATAGCCAAGACGGACTATGAGCTTCCTTCATTGGATATGGGTTTGAGGTACTTGGAGTACAAAATAGGTGTGAATGAGAGCTCTCTAATTGACAAATACCCAATGGGGCATGATGTGTTTACGAACCGTAGTGCGATCAGCAGTAAAGGGTGGGATGCTTTTAGAGAAGTTTACCTGGACAATCAAGATGTAAAACTTGATGTTGATAGGTTTAGAGGGACCCTCTTAAAAGTACAAGAGCTCTTGCATACATAAATCTATTGTTGTTGATTGTTTTAAAATCGATCACCATTTGTAATAGTGGGCGTAATGTAATTTTTTATTTGCCTTTTTGTTTTTAAACACACACAAGCTGAGGTTGGAACACTAGTTACGTGAATTGTACTCGTAATCAATGTGGAAAGAAATGTTTCCAAGTTGTATTCAAAGTTGAATATGATACGTTAACAAATTGATTATTAAGCTATTATTGATATATAGTTGGAAAAATCACATATTTAATTCTTCAAATAGTACGCGCTTTGAAATGTAGGATCCGTGTTTCAAGTTTGAATTTTCCCAAATTGCATTAAATGTGATCTTTAAGGGATAACATTTATAATGTGGGTTGAGAATAACATTTACATGCATTCGAGCTATTGAAGAGTGACATTTGTACACTTGAGAATACATGGATTACATTTCAATATCAACATTGTTTGAGGGACTGAAAATAAGTTTTTCTCTTGATAATTTGCTTCACAATGTTTTGCTAGAAATGTTTCCCAATAATACTTTTATTCTTTTCTTTTTACTAGTATTGTACCCGTGCGATGCACGGGACAAAACTATTCTTATATTTTGTCTATGTTCTTTTACCAATTAAAATGCTAATGTATTTATCATATGGATGATTTAAGAAAACTGAATTGCGTGTATCATATGATATAAAAGAGCATGCAAATTATATTACATGTAAAGTTGTTGTACTAAATAGAAATATATTATCATATTAGGGCATTATTATTCGATTAAAATAGTAAAATATGAAACGAAATATGTTGAGGCATACAAGAAATAATATATTTAAAAAAAATCTTGTTATAGGACAATTAAGGTGCCATAAAAGTTGCTTATCAATTATTACCTCCGTCTCCAAAAAATCCGTTACATTAATTTTTCTTTGTCAAAATAATATGTTGATTCGTGACGCGATAATATGATACATGTGTTGTATACTTGTATATATTATCATTATTCATTGAACCTCGCTTCTAAATTGATCATCATGGTATATTACTCTCGTATTTAGAACTTTGTTACACTTTCTTATTTGGGATCTATTTAAAAGTTTGTTACACTTTTCATTTTTGGTAAATTTTTCCTTTAAAAAGTACCCAATTATCCTTAATTTTTTCTACTTTTTATCTTCTTTTTCTTACTTTTTCACATTCTCTTCTACTTTTTCAACATTATTCATTATCCTTACTAATTTCCCCTTAATTATTGTGTTAAGAACTAATGTAGTGATCTTTTGAATACGGACACGGAGCATATCACTATATTTAAACCACCCAACGATTGTGGATGCACTCATGCACCAGGACGTAAAATTCCTTTCCATTTTTCTTATCTTGTTTTATATAAAAGGTGTTTGTAGGATATGTATTGACTTCTATGAAAGCTAAAATGTATCTATATCATATTGCAATAACAAAACTTTGATACTTGTTATAATATACGGAGTAATTACTAAAGAGTTAAAATGGGGTTTTTATTTGAATATTATTAATTTTGAACCAATTACCCAAAAAGTGACCGCTTTTAAAAAGAGGCAAAAAAGTGATCAAGAAAGTCATATATTTGAAAAAACATAATGTCAGCCAGATTTGTATGTCACTGTAGCCGCCGCCCGTGTCACTATAGCCGCCGCCCGTATCACTGTAGCCACCGCCCGTGTCACTGTAACCACCGCCCGTGTCACTATAACCACCGCCCGTGTCACTTTAACCATCGCCCATGTCACTTTAACCACTACCCGTGTCACTATCGCCACCACCACACCTCCACTGCCGCCGCCCTTCTCCGGCGGCCATAGTGACACCGCCGCCCATGCTCATCCCTATGCCCAGCATCCCAAATCAGTGAAGCGCACTGCCCCCCTGCAGCAGTCGCGGCAACCACTCCTGCCGGCCACCCCCACCGCCCAGTAACCAAGTCTACCCAACCGCCGCTGACCACCACCACCACCACCGACCACCGACCACCGCCTCACCCCGACTTGACTCCCCAGCTCCCAGCTCCCAGCTCCCAGCCCACCTCCTAACCTCTTCATCTCTTCTACCCAGAGCAACTCCGGCACCCTCCGGCCACCCCTCCCAGCCCCAACTTTGACAGCCCAACTTAGCCCCAACCACCGGCTAATGAAAGCCTAGCCGCCCCCCAAAATCTGGTCGTTTGCTTGTCACCATATCAGATCTAAAGGTTTACGACGAGGAGAGGCCGACGGTGATAAAGCAGTGAGGCAAGGCACAGAGGCGCCATCCGAGCTCGTCGTAATAGGCCATCAAATCTATGCTCCTCCTAATCGGATGACAAAGCTCTTCGCCGGATCTACGAAAATCGTAGCCGGACGATGAAGCTTGCCGCATTGACGAGCCTTGCCACCAGATCGATAAAGTTCGTGAAGGTTGCGGTTCATCTTCACAAATTCGCCGCCGTGGAGTTGCTGATTAATCTGCAGAAATTCGCTCCTGCTGGGGAGCTGGTTCAATTTGGTGGAGACGGCCAGATGCGCGTTGGAGAAGACTGCCGAGGGAGAGGGGTTGTAGTCACTTTTTTGTGAAGTGTTAAAAAGTTTAAAACCTCAGTGGTCATATTTTGGCCATTATTTCATTAAAATGATGAAATAACACAATATTTTTCGAGAGAAATGAATCATTATGTTAATTGATTAAAATGTTGGTCATTCAATTACTTTTAAGAAACACATAATTTTGAAAACGACTTTCAAATATAATTGTGAGAGCCTATAAAATTAGCATTGAAAATTAATTACATGCATGAATGCCACTATGCGAGACTGATCTCATGAAAGGCAACATGATACAATTAGGGAAATCAATTCAAACCAAACAAATCAACATCATTCTGTACTACGTGATGTTTAGAACCAGCTAACCCATATAATATTCTGACAATATTAATAATTTCATACTACATATTGAGCTTCCAAAATTAGCCCTAAAAATATACGGAGTATTTATATACACATAAAGACACGTGTCTTCTAAATATCATCTCTAACCTACTTTTCACCGCCTCGATCCATCTTTCTTAATTCCAATTTCTACTACTTTGTTCTTCTGTTTACTTTGTTTTCCATGAATTGTGTGACGGGCAAAACTAAGTTGGGAATCAAAAGCTGTATATATTATCAGAATGAACATCTTGTTACTATTCAAAGATCACCCACGACAGTCTTGCTGCTACATCCATAAGAACATAGAAAACATATCATGACACATGAGAAAGGCTTAAAGGGCTATTATAGTATTATCCACTTTACCATAGATTTCTTTGAGTCTCACCTTTCATTTAGTAGGTTCCTACTATTCCCTCGCACATAATAACTTACAACAAGTCTAGGCAGTGCAGGTTCTACTCATGCCTGAAAACAATCAATACTGCAGTACAGTTATCTTTGCAGTGGCGCTCACGGACTGCCTCTCGCACAAGGCGGCGGCTCACTTGTGAAGCAGGCAATCCTTCCTGTCAAACAACTGCCAAAGTTAGGATACATACAGAAAACAAATTCTCATTACATCTTAGACAAGTGTGTGCATATAGCTATTTAACTTGAAATAAATGCAAAAGGCCTGCAAACCTTCAGTAAGTTTTGAACAAATCGAACAGCATCACTGGGCACAAAAACCTAAGAAGTTTCCAACGAGAATCAGTTAGTGTAAAAATGATTCAGAGAATTTCTAGATGTTCTTGCCGCTTATAACAACACTCTATGAGATACAACAAACAAAACATACCCCCCACAATCCATCACAGCCCAGAATCATGAAATGATCTCTTTCAGAAAGGTCAAATGAGTGGATATCTGGGGTTGCAACAACACCGACCTGGAATGTAGAGAGTTTGAGATGGACACTGAAACTCAATAAGATATTTTTCTTCTTGAGAAGGAAAATGCAGCTCTTTTTCATTTGAGTAAGCAAAAAAAAAGTTGGAGAAGTAATTTATGCAAAGAGTGTTAAAGGGTATAAGACAAGTAAACCTTTTTAAACTGACGGTCTCCAAATGCCCTGGAAACTTCAAGCCGGCCTTGTAATCTTCCATTTGAACTCACAGATCCACCCGCCTAAAGAATTGCATTGTGTGATGATTACTTCCACACATTCTGATTTAATTTTTTTACTTTCCTTTTTGGTTCTATCCAAAATAATGTCCATTTCCCTAAGTTATACCCCCATGGCCCCACTAACTTCTTAATTATTCCTATTCATCCATCTCTTACTCCCAACTAGTTGAGCTCGGTGAGACGGTGACCAAATATTTACAGTGCCAACTAATATACTCTCCCCGTCCCATTTTACCTGTCTTACTTTCTTTTTTGGGTTGTCCCAAAATAAGTGTCACCATTCCTTTTTTGGAAAGAAATATGTGGTTCACAACATTTCATTTTACTATACTCAAATCTCAGCCACAACTTTTACCTTTTCAACCACTTTGTTAAAAATTGTGCCAAAACCAAAGGAGACACATAAAATGGGACAGAAGTAGTAATTAACACTAAATTCATCGCATAAAAACGGTGTGAATGTTTTACACCATAAGTTGATCTAGCCGCAACCTTCTTCTGAAGGAATAATGACATGGAGCTTGAAACCATCTCATTATAGGCCACTTCCACTTGCGTAAAGAAAATATCAAGAGACGTGTATTAAATAAGTTGACAAATCAGTTAAATCGCAGTCCTATCATAGAAAACCATTTCTCCATTACACACTCTACAAATGATTTATATATATCAGCTAAGAGTACGATAGAGTTGGATATATTAACAAAACAGTTCAGGAATATAGAAAAGTACCTAGAGCAACAACCAGCATGCTGAGAGTAATTGACTATGTAGTCAAATTTTAACCAAACAGCCCATAAAAGCAGAATAGTGCTGTGAGCTGATCTGATTCTACTTTTCTAGGTTTATATTAGTCATCCTTCAGACCACATGCTCATATGTAGTTTTTTTTTTTTTGAAAGAATGCTCATATGTAGGTCAGATATTTTAGAAAGAAAAACATTCTAAAGTAGTAAAGCCTAAACTACATTTTGGCTATTCTCTGCAGATCACCAGGTCAGATATGTACTTTAATATGAACGTTCATTACAGAATAGATTTATAACAAAAATACACTTTGCAGAAGTGCAAGATTGCAGAAACAAATAGAGAATCATATATTTATTTATTGAGTGCATTCAGAGAAGTGTTTCTGCCACTTCTAGTCCTCCAAGTATTGTGTAAGTGACACTTAAGGTGCTAGACTTTAAGTTTTTCCACTTTTAGTCCTTCGAATATTGTGAGAGAGATGCTTTTGGTCATCGAATTTGAATTTTTCCACATGTAGTCCTAACTATTGTAAAAGTCACAATTTTGGTTCTTCAACTATTATCTACTTTATCAAAAAGGTATCGTGGAAGGACTAAGAGTGTCAATATTATAAAATTTTGACTAAAAATGGAAAGTTTCAAAGTCTATACTGAAAGTGGAAAATAGTTGAAGGTTATCAAAGGCCACAATAGTTGAAGGGATAAAAGTGGAAAATTCAAAGTCTATACTGAAAGTGTCACTCACATGATAGTTAGAATACTAAAAGTGGCAAAAACACTTCAGAAAATGATACAGTATAATACTGACTTCAAAATGGAAACAATTATTATTTTCCTTGTTTATTCCCAAGAGGAAATAAAATCCTTTGTTTGGTTGATGTCATTTATCTCTTCTTTGGAGACGTTTTCCTAAACTTTGAGAAACAATTCTTCTAATGCCCCCATGGGCCCATCTCCCCCACCCACACCGGTGCATTGCATTAGGATTGCTTCAAAAGGAAAATAGGATATTTAAATACATTAGAACAAAGGCATATTCAGAATGCTCACTTTCTGAATGCGAGCCCGTTCTTGAGGATAAATGGCTTTATGTTCCCTTGTCAAAACAATGGCCTTTAATAGAGTTGAACCATCATTTGGAATGTCAGATTGTATTGACCTAGCTAAAACTGCCTTTGCATCCCCAATATTAGCAACAAAAACCTACATAGACATGGTGGGTTTCTCAAATAACTAACGACATGTTGCTACAAAAATGAGCAGGGACCATAAGTAAGCAATTTTAGTAAAACAGACTCTGCAACCACTTTACAATTTATTCAATTACAAATCAATGGTGAAACAAATTATTGAAAATTTGCAACCATCATGCCCGTAAAAACTTGCAGATTATTACGTGTATAGAGCCTAACATATTTTTCACACCCAAACATTAGATGTGCGCATTGTTGCAAAATACTTAGAAAGTGAATTCATAGTCTATTCCAATATATGAAGTGTTACGAGAAAGGCATGCAGAAGCACGCATAGGGCACCATAGCTAGTACACTATTGAAAAGGAGAACAGCTCAGAGCTTACCATTTGTCCTAATACCCAAATACAAACAGCCGTAGCACCATCTTGCCAACCCCCTAACAAGAATGTACAAGAACAAGCAAACAATAAAATTTATTCTCCTTGACAATAACGTACAAATAAATCTACCCGAGGTCAAAATTTCCAAGAATACAAAGAATAAAATGCTTTAGAGTAAGTATGTATACCTGCTATACTTTCATTGAGAAGAGTTTCATCTGTACTTTTAAACCCTAAAATGTTCAAGAATAAGATGAAAACCACAAAACTATGAGGAATACTAATCATTATAAGTCTTTCTTTGGCATGAAATTTTTTAAAGCATACCCTCAAGTATTGCTCTTTTTGCAGCTTTAACATCTAGCTGCATATTCCACAAAAATGTAAGAGTTTTGCACACACACAGAATGGAAATCATCACTGATTCTTAACTAAACCCAAACAAGACATAGCAAACACACCAACTCACGTGGTAAGCCAGCTAAAAGAACATTGCCATGCAAGTGCTTCCGCGCATAATCAGCAGCTAATCGACCTCCATGGCCATCATATATTGCAAAATGAGCACATCTGTTGGGAAAATAAACAATACAAGTGGGAAAAAACTCAGAATTCAAGAGGGCACTATTTCACTCATGGATATCAACTATGGGTATTGTATTTGCATTTCAAAATTACAACTTCATACCCAAGAAATACATACTCCCTCCGTCCCATTTTACCTGACTTACTTTCATTTTTTGGTTGTCCCAAAATAAGTGCCACATTTCCCTTTTTGGAAAGAAATATGTGGTTCACAACATTTCACTTTACTATACTCAAATCTCAACCACAACTTTTACTTTTTCAATCACTTTATTTAAAATTGTGCCAAAACCAAAGGAGACACACAAAATGGGACGGAGGTAGTATAAAACAATTCTGAAGGTTAAGAAACCCAGGACTGCATAAATCATCATCATATGATATTGTAAGAAAAGACTTCATAGTGACATTTAGGAACCAAGAAAGGGATATGAGTAAATAGTTAAAGTACTGATAATAAGGGATTCTAATGTAGATCGAGGAAGTCATCATTATAGTAATATAACAGTAACTATAGTAAAAATAAAAGACTTCTTCTGCCCATATTAGAAAAGCGCCTTACATATTTTATCCTATACTCCTCTCCAAACTACAGTGGAGAAACACAAAAAACAGTTCCATTAAAAACATGCAATATTCACATTAAAAAGCCTACATTTTTTTAATAGTTTGCACTAAACATGTGGTGACACCATATTGGCACCATCACCATGCCATGTGAGCCATTTTTTAAAACAGATTTTAACATTTTTGTAGTTACTTTTGGGCTTTGGACCTGATCATTAATTAACCAAACAGCCCACTCATATGGCTTTGATTACTAATTATCTAATTATTAAGCAATCAGCCCATAATACTAATAAAAACCCCTAATAAGTAGTGCTAGAGAAAGTTGTGCAACTAACGGAAAGCCAAAGTAAAAAAGCTGATCAAAAGGGTATTCAAAAGATGCGGGTATTCAAATATTTTAATCTATTTAACCTATTTTCACTTCACATGTTTTTTTTTAATGTGGCTAGCCAATTTTTTACTCATCTTTTGGTGGTTGAATTATAGATTTATACTACCTCCGTCCCACTATGTTTGGGACAAAAGTGATATTGTGTGATTGGTATTGAATCGAGAAAGTGTGAATAAAGTAAGAATGAATTGTAACCACTCAAATATTACCAAATATGGTATGAGACAAACTTAACGGGACAGACGAAAAAGGTAAAACGGGACAAAGTTAGGGGAACGGAGTGAGTAGTGTCTATGGTTCATATATTTAGCATTCATTTTTGAGTCATATGGTGTGCCATAAACAGTCAAAGACTCGCCATTTTTAGGCTTGAGAATATGATGGAATAAAACAAAATGACTCATGAAACTGTCTGCGCTTCTTTGTTATGTAGTGGGAGACAATCTATGCAATTTTCGACGCGATTTTCGTCATTGGTCATCTGGGAACAGTGTGTATGTGTTTTAGTACAGGGACAAGGCTGCGTACATCTGACCCCTCTGACCTCACCATAAATGGGAGTCTTTACGCCACTAGGGTAATGTTGTTGTTGTGGTGGTGCGCCATTGCCATGGAAAAATGACTTGGCGCCACGATTGTCGCCATACGCCAAGACAACCAATGGCACTATGGGGGCAGCTGCCCCCTACCCCCCCAACCTAGCCCTTCTATATATCTAAATTTTATAGGAAGTCGTACAAAATAAGAGTTCAACATAGGAAAAATTCTAAAATAGGATTAAGATTTTTTTTCTTCCTAAATATGGAATTTATGTAATCCTATTAAAAGAATAAAAGGATAAAAAAATCACTAAACTTTGTTATGTTTAACTTCTACTTAGGTAATTTTCTCAAATTTTATCTACAATTGCATCTTTGGACACAGTTAATATAAATTGATCTTCTTTTGATACATACTCGTACATATATCTTACACTAAGTCTAATCAAACACTATTAATTATGTGATTTGTTGTTTGTGAAATAAGTGACTGAGTTCTAAGGTAAGTTCGCCTCCACTCACAATTTTTTTTGGATACACCTCTGGACAACTATGCAAAAAACTATACTGACTATTGAAAGCACATCAGATTATCAGAAGAAAGCAAATTCACTTTCCAGGAGTTCAGATATTGCTCCCCACCCCCTAGAATACAATTCCATGGATATAGTAAACTTAAGTAAACCTTACTCAAGTGCACATAAAAGAATAGGAGTAATTCTTGAAATAGGAGTAAAATGTTTGAAAATTTCAAATATGACTGTCATGTTTTTATTCTCTAAATAGGAGTAATTACTGCAAAATTTGGAAAATATTGCCAACTTTAAAGTCTGGTACTGCCAAAACATGGCTGTAATTACTCCTATTTATGGAATAAAAATATAATAGTCCTATTTTGGAATAAACAAACGTTTTTTGTCCTATTTAGGCAATTCCCCAAAAGAATATAGTTTGAATAATTATTAGGTTAACCTTGCTGAACTAGTGTACATAGAAAAAGATTGTTTGGGTAATATTAGGTTAGGTTCTCAAAACTTACTTCAAACCAAAAACCTCTGATTTTAAGGTTCTCCAAAGTGAAACTAGGTTCTAAAACGGGTTCATTTTCATGAAATAGTAAAAAAGGAGGCGAGTCCAGTAAACCTGGAAGAGCCTACGTTCACTCCAAAACAAACTGAGGGTAAAATGCATACAATTCATATACGAAGTAAAATACGAAGTATGTGTTAAAAAAACATGTTAAGAGCTGAAAGCTTTCCAGGAAAATAAAATCGCGTGCCAGGAATCCAGACCTTAACTCCAGTCCCACCCTAGTACTGAATTTCATAAATTCCAAAAACAATAAGAGTGAAGTGTTTTTTAGTAGCACGAATAAGAGAGTCAAACTTTGTATGTCAACCATACGCGCTCAAAATACTAGAAACCTCAATTTTCCCGGTGTACCATTGCTGGCGTCAGGAAGAACAACCCAAGCATCCTCCATGGTGTGCCTTGAACCTTTATCCTCCGCCGCATCGGCTTCTATCTTGAAACAGCTTTTGCTATTAGCTTCAACTTCAAATTCAACCAAATGCGAGGCTTCTGGTTTTATCTTCTTTGTATTCTCATCGGTGTGATCGAAACTGCCTTCCCGCTTGGACTTGTTGGTTGAAATGCTTGATACTCTGTTTGAAGCATTTGCATTGGAATTTGAATTTGAACTATCCGCCATTAAAAACGATGGGGAGTTTTAGAAAGTCGGAAGGATAAATGAAATAAAATAGGATGGAATGGTGTATTTTTTTTAAGGATGTTTGGGAGGTTAGAGGAGGGGAAGCGGAAGAAACTTTTGTTTTGGGTTTGAATAATTATTATTAAAATAGCTTCACATTATTAAAATATACTCTGTAGTTAAAGCTCTGTTTGCAAGTGATTGTGCTTAAATAAAAGCATTTTTGGGGAAAAAATGATTAGTAGTAAAAGTTGGTAGTGTTTGGTAAAATAAGTGCTTTTTGTGTAATAGAAAAAGTGAAAAGTAGATTCTACACGAAAACCGAGAAAGTAAAAGTTGATATTGTTTGGTAAAATAAGTGCTTTTTTCTTAAAAAAAAGCCAAAAACACTTAAATTAATTGTTTGCAAACAAAGCCTAAGAGTACATGTGTTGAAAGTACAAGAGAAATAGACCAAAAAGAAGAAAAAATACATTAGCAATTGAAATTTTTGGAAGGTATTCCAACTGCCGTAGATAATGCTCTGTTGTATCTATTGTGGAACTTAATTGCCTTCTAGAGATAGGCTTGGTAGAAAGTTCGATCTGGATGATGAAGTTTAAACCGCTTCAAAGTGTCTGCGAGTTTATGTGGAGAGTCAAACCCCACGTCTATTGGGTAGAGAACAAAGTTTGTCTCGTCTTGGGGTTTTTGGGACTGGCTTCTGGTGATAATGGGATGTGAAGTATAGCCCGCTTGGTACAATTGTTGTTCATCCTCTTTGTCTTTGTTTGATGTGGTGTTTGATATCGTGTTTCTGCTTTTTCTTCTTGTTACTTGAGTAAATCCGTTAAGTAGTTCCTCTTTAACTTGATGATTGTCTGAATGACCTGAAACTGAAAAGGTTAGTAAAAAAATAGCTTCACATATATTTGTATATCGAATTAAAATAGTTAAATTCATACTCATTTTAAAATTAAGGGAAAAATAATAAAAATATCCCAAACTTTGAAGGGATGTGAGGCAAGCATCCCAAACTTGCATATGCCATTTAAATACCCCAAACTTTATATAAAAAGTTATTTTCACACCATTGTCATGTATTGTTTGTTTCAAAATGTAAATTTATCCAGTTAATTGCAAAATTTAAAATAACAAAATTAAAAGTGTTGCAATTATATAGATTGGGAGTGAAAATATTTATTTCGCAATGGAAGTTTAGAGTGCTTATTGTGTCTTCATGAATTCTAAAATATATTAAATTATGCAATTAACAACATAAATTTATATTTTTGAAAGATATAATACCTGGTTATGGTGCTAAAATAACATTTTATATAAAGTTTGAGGTATTTTAATTACATATGCAAGTTTGAGGTGTTCACCCCACACCTCTTCAAAGTTTGAGATATTTTAATTATTTTTCTCAAAAATTAAACTAAAATTATTATTTATTTTGTCATTCTTATAAAACCTTCAAATTGGGGGAGCTTAAAAGTTGTCCGCTTGAAAAGTTTAGAGGATTACAATAGCCCTCCAAATCCCCTACCAATCAAATTTTAAACTTTTAAACAACAAACATAGAGTTATAAACCCTCTTCAATCTTTTCCTCTCCTCCAAAACCTAATTTTTTTATCGTAAAAAATCGGCTTTTATATGAAAAACCAGAACGCATATAAGACAATCTTCAGACAGATTTTACAGATCTAATCATGAACTCTAGGAGTACACTTAGGGTGTGTTTGCGTTTGCTTTTACTTTTTAAAAGTGATTTTTTAAGAGATTATTTAAAAAGTAATTTGTAGTAAAAGTAGGCAGTGTTTGTAAATAAAAGTGATTTTAATTAAAGGATAGAAGTTGAAGTGTTTGATAATAAAGTGATTTTTGATGGAATGTTTTGTGTAAGTACACAATTGCCCTTTTGCTTCAATAAATGTCGAAAATTTTAGTAGGTGCCTAGAATAGATGAGTTCATCTTTCACGCACATATAGCATAACCTGTGGAGATGAAGTTCAGATGAAAAAATTGGACTTCTAGTTTATCCTAAAACCCAAAACGGAGCATCCTGAATCACTTTACTCCAGTACAAGTTCTTCTATTCCTCATTTGTTTTTACCTTTTAGGATCGAGCATCTGAGGAAAATTTCCACTTAGAAAGATTATGGATTATTATATGTCTCGATGGATATTATACGTTTTGGAACTTTCAATTTAAAGATTAATCTGTCCATACCTCGAGTGGATGAGTTAAATAATTGAAAATTCAGAACTCCATTTCATACAAACCTTGACCTGAGCGAATGAACAACAACGGATCTTCAATTTTCAATTGGAATGCCGGATTCCAACCTTGCTTAGCTGTGGCGCAGATTCAGGGAGAAGACATGGAGTATTTGAATTTTATGGATGAGAAGAATCTTCTTTCTTCATGGATATATACACCTCCATCTTTTAAATGAAATGTTCCCCCAAGTTGCATTCATTTACCAAAAGGAAAAGGGGCAAATAAGCCCTCGAACTAATAAAAAAAGTGCAAATAAGCCCTTTTGTAGGAGGTTCTGTCCGATCATCGTCATTTGGGGAGGTTCTCGGTGGAATTTTTTGATGAATTTTTTTGAGCATCTTCTTCATTAAGTCTAGTTTAGCCATACCGAATTTCAGCTAAAAATTCAACCGGGAAGGCACTCAAATGATTTTCGGAAAAATACTGCGTTGTTTAACTGTGCAGTTATCTTCAAAAATTCATTTGACTGTCTTCCCGGTTGAATTTTTAGCTGAAATTCAGTAGGACTAAACTAGACTTAATGAATAAGATGCTCAAAAATTTTCATCAAAAAATTCCACCGTGAACCTCCCCAAATGACGATGACCGGACGGAACCTCCTACAAAAGGGCTTATTTGCACTTTTTTGATTAGTTCGAGGGCTTATTTGCCCCTTTTCCCTTTACCAAATTACCAAGAAGCAGATAAAAGCAACCCAATGCTGCCTTCTAGCTTTTGGCGTAAATCTGATTAAAATAAGCCGAAGCTGCATTCGGCAAACACCATTTTGACTTTTTTTAATTAAAAAGCTCAAAAGTGCTTCTAAGAAGCTCTCGCAAACACAGCCTTAGAGTCAGCTACCTCATAGAAAACAACCTGACTCGCTAAATCTGAAACGAGGAAATTTAAACCTACAATGATCGGAACCGAAACTCTGCCTATCAAAAGAACTCCAACCGAAATAAAAACACAACCAAAACAACATGCAATTCAAAATAAAAACACATCAAAATAAAAAGAATTAAAATAGACTTCACCTGTTCTCTTACAAACCCTAGATTCTCCAGCACTCCATGAAGGCGGTTCAAGAGGGGGACGAGTCTACAATACTGTTGCTTCTTCCTCACCCGACCTCTTATTCATCATGTTCTCTGTCAATTCTCCAGCACTCGAATCCAGATCTGTTCTCTGAGCTTCATTGGATGATGTCATCCTCTCACTATTGTTGTCTCTGCATGTTGTTCGCACCAAGAAACTCGTCGCAGGAGAAACCCCAACCCGAAGAGCCGCTCAATCGAATGAGATCGGCAGAGAAGCTAAAACCCTAACTAGAGGGAGAAGCGGCCGCTAGGGTAGCCCAAAACCTAACTTAAAAAGCCGTGCTTAACTTTTTGCTTTAGAAACGCTAACAAGAGTGATTTCAAATGTGGATTCTGCTAAAAGTTAATCATTTTAACCCAAAAGCAAAATGCATGGCTAGGGATGTTTCCATTTTTTTTCCTGAACAACAACTTCAATGATAATTATAATCATTAAATTATATAGCAAACCCAAAATACCCTCATCCCTTCATCTACTTCTTGTGTCCAAACTCTACCACAATGTTAGCAAATTGTCCAATCATTCTTCTTACCCTTTTGGGAACTTTTCCTTTAAGGGTAATTGCTTCAGTGCTAGCGGTTCAAATTCATCACATTAATAACCAGCTCCAGACAATAGTCTCTGATTCAGACAATAGCCTATAATTCAGACATTAGTCTCCAGCTTCGACTCATTGTACCAAACATAGCCTAAGTAGATATGATGTAGTATGATATGATAAACATCGGATGTATGTGTATGGTGAAATTCACAAGAATAACCCATACTTTTATGCATTCTACAATAATAATCCCAATTGAGAGTGTCTATAAAAATAATCCATACTAGCAATAGTGTCCATAAGAATAATTTAGAATTAAATCAAAATAATGCCTATTCAATACTCTCAATCCCTACCTATTGATATTAAATGAATTTCACTTTGAATTTGTCCCGAAACGAATAGTAAGGATTGTGAGTATTAAACGGACATTAATTTGAAGTCACTTGAATTTATTTTTATGAACACATTTGCTAGTTCGGATTATTTTTGTAGACAGTGTGAGTAGATGTTATTATTGTAGAATCCCTAAAAGTAAGGATTATTCTTAGTATATTTTAGTATTGTCTTAATCAAGTCAGGCCTTTTAAGTCCCTAACCCATATTGCCCCATAAAATTAAAACAAGTAACAAACAAGATATATAGTATGACAGCTAACAACATTGATGCATCATACATCAGGTCTAGAGAAATCGACCACAAAGTCCACAATACACCAGGGATAGAGCAGTCGGTCCGCATAGTGCTGGACCGAATCAGGTACCGGTTCGTGATTCTTTAGACTATCTATTCTAATTCTAATATAAAAGCAAATGAATTCTGTGAACAGTGTTCCCGCTTATAAATGTCAACATCATCTCTTCATTTGTAAATCAGTCAAAAATAAAATACAAAATAATTATAGTCTAAAGATATTACTACGTACATCGACCAAGACATGTATTATTATTGTGAGTAAACAAATCCTATTGGTTCTAAAAGGAGGTGCGCACAGGAGAGACATGTTCATGTATTCCTACTGGTCCAAGATGGAGGTGCACACTGTTCACACAAAAAACTTGAATTGATGTAGAGTCACTGTTTGGATTGCTTTGTTTCTATTGGTTGGATTGGGTGGTGAGCACAGTAAATGGGATTGGGTGTATCTCAGTTTCAACAAGTAGCATGGTATAGCTTAGCTATAAAATCAACACTTCCGCACGAGATTTCTCCCAGCCATTCCACACAATCTATCTGTAATAGCAAAAGAAGAAACATATTTCTTTCAATTACTGAGATTGATCAAAGCAGAGCCACTTGGGCAAAAAAGGCCAGAGCCACAAGAGCCATTCAAAACAGACATTCCAATAAGCAGATGCATAGAAGGGGTTGAAAGCAAACAATATAGATGTGTATTTGTCATTTGGAATTTAAAAAATTGGGTGTTCTACTGCATAAATGATGTTCTCTCTTATTCTTTTTGAGCAGTTTTAGCGTTTCAAGATCACTTTTGCAATGGGAAGTTGCACTTGATGACAACTCTTCATCTTAAGAAAACAGAAGAGGCGTGTATAACTTGACTTTTTCAATATTTCTTTTGGTTAATACACATGAAGTATAGTAGTAAAATATTCCAATGGGGAAAAGGGGCAAATAAGCCCTCGAACTAATAAAAAAGTGCAAATAAGCCCTTTTGTAGGAGGTTCTGTCCGATCATCATCATTTGGAGAGGTTCTCGGTGGAATTTTTGATGAATTTTTTTGAGCATCTTCTTCATTAAGTCTAGTTTAGCCATACCAAATTTCAGCTAAAAATTCAACCGGGAAGGCACTCAAATGATTTTCGGAACTACACTGCGTTGTTTAACTGCGCAGTTATCTTAAAAAATTCATTTGACTGCTTTCCCGGTTGAATTTTTAGCTGAAATTTTGTATGGGTAAACTAGACTTAATGAATAAGATGCTCAAAAAATTTCATCAAAAAATTCCACCAGGAACCTCCCCAAATGACGATAGACAGACGAAATCTCCTACAAAAGGGCTTATTTGCACTTTTTTGATTAGTTCGAGAGCTTATTTGCCTCTTTTCCCTATTCCAATGTTATAATTGAATAAATAGTTGTATAAATAAATGTATAGGATCCAAGATTCCATACACATAAATATGGGTTTATTTTATTTTAGAGTGTTGAATACCCAAAATTATCACACTTATGAAGTTTTTGATTATGTATGATATGAACCGAGCACAGAATATGTCATCTTTGTTTTTTGTTTGGACTCTGACATACTCTGTAGTTATTATTGTTAATTTTGGATCGACTAAATCCAAAGAAAATTAGTGTATAAAAGCTATTAGAAATAATTATGGGTTGGTAGTGATTAAAGACGTTATTGCAGAGTATGTGCAGGAGAGAGTCACGAGAGACAAGCTACATGGAAGATCTCCGCCAAGTTCATATTATATCTTCAAAGGAAAGATATAGATACTCAAATAATACTCATATAAAGACCAAAAATTATTTGTATGGTAATGAAACAATGCTTAAACATCTAAAAGTAGTTGTATGATAATTCATAAAAAAGTATTTCATATGTTTTGTTCAATGTCCAAACCCATGCATTAAGTTTTTATTTTTGTGTTCTGGATGTCCGCTTCTTATAAAGAGAAAAAAGATCGAATAGACACTTCTGTATTTATGAAGTATTAGTAAATCCCCTAACTAATCAAAACGTCATTAAAGTGCATTTGCTTTTAAAATTTGGGTAAAATCTATGTGTAGTCGTTGTTTTGTGTGTAATTGGCTTTGTTTAATGTTACTATGTTAGTATCCTAAAAATTGATAAGGTACAAACAAGTTTAAATACAATAATTGAACTGTTTACAAGTGTTCACTTTTTTTTATTAAGTCAAAGGCATGTATCTATAGATAATACATTTGAAAGATACAATTATGGAAAGTTTTGCCACATGTCATCACCTAAGCAAACATATATTATAATTCTCTTTCCAATTTAATGTATTAATTAATTATACTTCGTCAAATTAGTACTACGTATTTAACTTTCATCAGGATTGATGATTAGTTAATTTAGTCTAATTATGTTGCATTGGAATCCTACTTAATTCCAATACCGTAATAATAAATAATAAACGTCCTAATGCTACAATAGAGTTATGCTACGTAATTCAAAAAATTAAACTTCCTATAATATCCTACACATTTTATGCTACATTAAATTAAAATTTTAAAAATAAAATTATAAATTATGAAAATTTTGTAATCCAAATGTAAATAAACTTAATAAATGGTTTAATATCTTTATGCTACATTAAATTAAAATTTTATGTAGCATAAAATTTGTATTGTTTATTTACAATTGTGTTTTTAAAACTTTCTTAATTTTTATTGAGTATTTACATTTGTATCCCAAATAAAAAAACATCTTTAAAGGCGTCCTCCCTAAAATTTAGAACTCCATATTATATAAGAACAAATCATAAGAAACATTCTACACATTCTAAGATCCTCATATAATAATACTAATAGGAGTAA